AATTGAACAAGACTCTTGCCACTAAAAGCAAAGATATGCGTGTGCTAATTTTATTTTGAGGATTGTATTTCTACATTGGCTTTGACCATATTGGATGAATAATACACTTAAAAATTAACTGAATACTAGAAGAAAATTGGTGCTTTGATGCTATCTAGGTTGTTCATCTCTTAAAAGTGAAAATTATGTCAGACCTGATGCTCTTCTTTCTTACTTCTCATTTACACTTAAGTCAATGGAGCTTAAACATGTAGCAAATAAAGGAAGAAGGAAGGAAATCTGTTGATTTCCAATAGAAAATGTAAATTTTATGTCACCTGTGTATGTTCTTTGAATACCATATAGGTAACGTGTTACTATTCATAGGGTATTCCAGGGCCTGCTGGTCTGGAAGGCAGTCCAGGAGACAGAGGACCTCCAGGACGCAGGGTAAGACCTAGACACCATAAATTTTGCCAGTACTGGAAAATATGTTCGTTCTTTTTAATTTTGGAGGGAAACTAAGGAATAAAACAAAATATTTTCTTCCTGTTATGGTGGTCTGGAGTAGTAATATGTGGAGTGTTCTGATACTTCTAATGACTGCCATTGATCTGTTATGCATATATTGTAAATTGCATTGTTTTATTAGACTGTGAACTTCAACATTTTATTAAAGAAGAAAGATTGTGAATTCATCTGTATGTAAGGGCAAATCAGCAGTTTCTGAACATAAAAGTCTAATTGTGTACCTATAAATGTGATTTATACAAGTCAGCATCTAAATGCCTAGCTTGTGCATGTTTGAAAAGTGTAGCTGACAGATGCTTTGAGCCTCTCCTTTTAACTAATGCAAAGGACAATGCTTACTGTATTTTTTGGCTGTCAGTAGTGCAGTAAGTTTTGCAATTATGTGTTTCTAACAAACCCTTTAGAAGTACCATTGTGGGAGTTCACTGATGAGTATCTTAACTCTCAAGTGAAAGAGACTTAATTTAGAAATATTTATTTCCTCTTTGACTTTCAGCTTTGAAAATTCAACATGGTGTAAAGGAGAGATTGAGTTCAACTTTCTCTCATTAATTGTTACCCCCACAAAGAAATCTGCAGTTCATGCTAAGCTGATAGTTTCCCTGTACATCTTTGTCAGATATGAAATGATACTCAGTGAATGTCTTATAACTTCAAAATAGGATCATAGCTGAAATTAGTTGCAACAGCCATGTACAAAAATTCCTTAAAGTACTAGAGGTCTGCCCTTGCAAACAAAAATACCGATCTTTTCTTACCCTTACTGAAATAAAAATGTATACAGGTAACACGTAATGGAATCTTCGGTTCTACTGTAGACTTTCAATATCCCCAAATCACAGTAGATGTTAAATAAAATATATAAAAATGTGTAATGCAATCAGCCCTTGGCTTTTGTTGTTTTCCCCCCCCCCCGTGATTAGTAAAGTATCTGAGCAATTAGATGAGATGAAGATAGCATTACTGTAATCTGTCTTTTTTTTTTTTTTTTTTTTTTTAGGGGAGTAAAGGACTGAATGGAAAAGCGTCATTTTCTGTATGTATCTCTAGCACACTCCGTGTTACAAACACACACAATGCACTGTCTCATTGGGTAGTCATGTGCTCATGCCTTTTTTTGTTCTTCTCCACAGCCTTGTGAACTCATTGACTACGTCCGCAAACACAGCTGTAAGCATTAAATCTTGCTTTGATATTGTAAGCCCAAGTATCACCACTTGTTTTCTTCCCTGTCTTACTAATATCACATTAGTTCTGTGTTTGGCGTGCCTGTGAATTTATGGTCTTAGCAGGCAGGTGCTTAAAAAATTAAGTTAGGGCTCAGAATGCAGAATATTTTTTTGGGGCTGTTTAGAATAATTTCTTTTGCCAAAGTTACTGTAACATAATTTCTTAGAAATGTGAAGTGTCTTGCTATCCAGTGGTTCCAGGTACTATGAAGTAAATTTGCATTATTTTTTCCTAGCCTATCCTAATTCCTTAGAGTGACTGTGGCAAATAGTGGGAGTTCCTACAACTAGTGGTGTATTTATATCTCTAACCACTGGTAGAAACCCATCAATGAAAATATTTGTTCTAGAGCAAGGTCAGGTCCTGCTTGTTCTTTTATGCCATTCCCCAGTAAAACCAAAGGGAGTTTTGCAAGCATACATAGCAGTGGAAGACAATTATTCATTCGTCCTAAGTCACTGCAGTCACTAAAGTCACTAAAGTCTTAAAATCTGCAGAACTAGAGAAACTAAATTCAGTGTATGTTCCACCAGTGATTTCAGCTTTTATTTTAAAAACTCTTCTGATGCAAAATTTTTCAATTAAACTTTATTTTTCTCTTTCTTTAGCTTGCTGGGATGGTGAGTACTGCTTACTCTTATGTTATTGTTACTAGACAGGACGAATGGTGGTGTTAATTTGTCAAACTGACCTAGCAAAGGTCTCATAAGTGAACTACTTTGCCTTTGTAGTATTAGGCTCCACTCAACCAAACATTCAGAGTCCTGTGTTCCCTTCACAGGAGTTAAATCCTATGTTGAGAGCCAGGTGTTTGCTGAACTGGAGCTTTAGTTTGTTAATCCATGTGTAGGATGGCGTATATCCCCTTTTAATTTAGCTACCTAAAATACAAGTGTTTAGTCACCAGATGCTTCCTCTGCAGTTTGTCTCTCTCCACTAATGACCCAGTGAGACTAAACATGTCAATATTCATAGCTGTGGTAGGTGTTCTTAATTGAAACCATTAGATATTATTTGGCCACTACTAGAGCAGTTTCAAATATCACATCTTTGTGATTGGCTATACTGAGCCTGAGCAAACTAGGGCTTCATAGTTTCTATACGCTCTAAGGTATACGCACTGTAACACAGACATTTCTCCTACTATGCATACACGCTCTTGCCAACTAGATAGTTTCTACTCCCATTCTGTAGGTAGAGCAGCATGGCAAAGAAATGCTAAGCCTAGGAAATCTGTGGAGAGCAGAATGTTAAAATCTCTAAAGTCCTAGAACAGGTCTGCTGAGCCATCTAGCACATCTGCTTCCTTTTTCCTCCAAAAAGAAATGTTATTTACTTGTCTTTTACTTACATACTTACCTTCTATTTTTTTGACATTTTCAGGATTATCCTATCCCCTTACCTTTCTGTTCTGTGTAACTCCTCAAAAGCTCAGATTTGCTTACTTGTGATAAATTTATCCTGGATATGCTTCATTGCTATGAGTTTCAAATTCAAGGCATGCCCTTTTTGTTTAACATCAATAGTGATGATTATCTTAACCACTACTGCATGTATGATCTTCATTTCCATTCCCTGAAGAGTACATGTAAGTTGAAGTTTCTCCCCACAGTAACATAGTGCTTGACATATATGTCCCTGTTTTATACCCAGTGCATGTGCTGGCATGTGTTTGAATGGTACAATGTGTTGTGAACTGTTCACGTGAAGGTAGGTAGGGGAAACTGAACTGAAAAAGAACATTTAAAAATCTTCAGATCTTTTCTATATCACAGATTTCTATTTGCAATAAAGGTTCACAGGCATTCTTAGTGCCTTGTATCATTTTGTTTCAGCAGTATTTGATTTAACCTCATTGGTAAGAGTATTGTTGGCAATACCAAAATACCATAAGCTCCCCTTTGTAATTTTCTCCTATTATCTATGTGGTGGTGTTCAGTTCCTGTGCGTATTCTTTTTGTTTTGTTTTGTTTTGTTTGTTTGTTTTTTTCTTTCTACTTGTCCCTGAGAGATATATAGCTAGCGTTATCCTTCTCTGACCCTTCATAATTCTAATCATCTTGCAGCTTCAGCGCTATAGGTTAATTTTCTTCCTTGTCCCTTCTCTGACCTTCTTTTCTGTTCTCAACTTCAGTCCCACCAGTTCCTCCACTGCTTTACATTGAGCTGCCAAATAATTTTATCGCACCTATTAATGTAAAACTGTCTCCTCCTTATTTTTACTGATTTCAATACTGCTTTCTGTTTTGCTCTGGTTTTTGTTTTCTTCTTAACTATTCTCTTTCCATTATGACTCAACACCCCTGAGTACTTGGTGTGTTCCATGCCCAAATGATTCTAATACCAGTCATGCACAAGAAATGATAATGGAATTTTTGTCCTACACAGAATTTAGCTGGAATTGTGAGTCAGTAATCTCCCTTCATGAGTGCTAGGTATATGATCTTATTATTACTGTAGTTATGTTACCTGCTATAGCCTGTGGTTTTTAAATTACATTTTTCTTCATGCTGCAGCAGATTATTTTCTTCAACACAATTTCTGCTTTTAGATATAATATTGTGGCTGGAGTAATTATAAGATGAAATGTGTTTTACTCCAGAAGTGTCACATGGATTATCAAATCTTAACAGTGCTCCTAAGAATAATGTAGTAATAATAGCATCAAATCTGTATCTGCGCTGCATGGCAGTACATGAGTTAGTGTAGGCCCACACTGTGCCCAAGAGGAGCTTTAAAAGGGAATATTTTGTGCAGGCATACCCAGCAACGGGAACACAGACTGCAGCAGACTCACATCCCACTGGTTCAGAATTCAGGTTAACGTGGAGCCTGTCAGAATGCGGACAAAACGCAAGATCATTTCAACTCCTGGCCTTGTTGTTGTCCTATGTGGGTGATGCTGGAAAAGCCACTTATACTCTCCATGCTGCAGCTTCTCCATCTGTAAAACAGTGCTAATATAATTTAGCACTATTTTCAAATATCTTTGTAAAACCTCTTCATAAGAGCAAGCAATTTGCACTTTTTTATGCTTCTCTTCAGTATACGTTGGGCAGATATTTGTCTGGTTCCCTCTTTTTCTCTGTGCATGTATCAAATGCAGTATGTAGTTTAGCATTGTATCTTTTTATGTATGGCTTTTATGTGCATTACTCTCCATGTCTGAGATGCAAGGGAACAAAATAATTTGTGGGTGTTTTTTGTTTCCTAGGAAAGCTGAAATGCCCAGTATATCCAACAGAACTGGTATTTGCCTTGGACACCTCTAGGACACTCACTCCTGAGACATTTGAGCTAATGAGAGAGATTATGATAGCAATAGTGAGTGGTGCCAGAATTAGAGACGGCAACTGCCCAGTGGGAGCCAGAGTCGCTGTTGTTTCCTACAACACAGTTACCCACTACCTGATCCGTTTCTCAGAGTTTAACAACAAGAATAAGCTGCTCATCGCACTAAAAAATATTTCTTACCAGAGATCCTCCAGTGAACGGGACACTGGAAATGCGATGAGATTCATTGCCAAGAATGTTTTCAAGAGAACTCTACAAGGTCCTAATGTAAGAAAAATAGCTGTGGTTTTCAGCCACGGACGAGCTGCAGACGCATCTTCTGTTAAACAAGCTGTGCTTGAGATGAGTGCAGTAGAAGTGGTTCCAGTAGTTATTGCTTTTGAAAACACACCCCATATCTTCCAAGCTTTCCTGGTAAGAAATTTACTAAACTTTTCTTCTTTATACTCAGTAATGTTAGTTTGAAACAACAAACCTTAAATGTATTAGGTCATGCTTATTCCACATGTAATGCTCTTGAGCATAGTGACTCACCTGTATCAAATTTTCATCCAAATTCTGCACACAAGTAGCTGTCAGTTAATCTTTAGTGATGCTAATGAAAGATGTGGAAATACTGGAGATTTTATAATAATACCTTAGCAGACCACAACAAAGAAAATGTGTGCAGACTGTAAAATTCATGGGCAACTTTATAGAAGAGGGATTTCGTGGTTGATAACTTTCTGATTAAAGCATCTATTACAACTCTAATACTTTGGAACTATTCCCATCTGCTTATAATCCTATGAAGTAGAAAATGGAGCATCAGGTTCTCATCTCTCTAGATGGTTCACTCTAAAACAGTAAAAACACAGAATGTGTTTAGTAGAAAAATCTTCAATGTAACAGCAAGTTTTGTACAGTAAATATCTAGGTGCAAATTGCTTGTTTTACCACTTGGCAAAGAAGCTACTGAAAGAGGATGGAATTATGGAAAATGCTTCTAGTGCATAATAAATTATTGAGTTAAAAAAACCTCTTGTTCTTCAAACTAGCATTTCCATAGCTTTAATGTATATGATGTAAGTGTAGCAATGAATAGGAAGAAAAAAATCAAAGAACTAAAACATTGAATGCTAAGTAAAACACTACTAATGTCTGATATTGGCATGTCAGTATGCTAAGTTTTTTCAAGAACTAACCACAGGAATATTTAAGATAGCAAGAACTACCTGTGGTTTTCCTGTTATCTGGACTTCAGGAGTTAACCCTTATGAGGATAAAAATGTAGTGTTTTAACACTGGAGATTTCTGAAGAAGACAGTTCTTCCAGTGCACCTGGAGCATACTCTGTGCCTCCTACTTGTGACCATGTTACTAGATGTAAATGATCTTCATTGAGGTGATAAATGCAACATTAGTAAAGGACATCTACTCTCACTGCCAAGGATACTATACGTTCTAAAAACAACTTCTCAGATTAAAAGGCAAGCTTTGTTTTCTAGGAGCTCTTACTGAAGCTCCTTTTCATCATCCTTTTGAAATGCAGCTTTCCTAGAAACAAATGCAATGTGAGCATTAAAGGAGTGTAGCCATCTCTCCCAAGACTGTATATTGTGCTTTCCTGGCAAAGTATTTCACAAGCTTTCTCTTCTTTTCAGTGGCAAATGGTTCATATTTTGGAATTTGTTTTTCTATGAAATAGCATTGAAATGAGATTGCTGGCTTTATCTCAGAGCACATCTTTTAGTTTCAATTTCACTTTCTTACCTAGGATCAATGCAAATAAAGATTCTTTGCTGCCTATTCCATTATCCCTTTTCTTCCAAGTTCCTTCCCTAATTGTAAAACAATTGTCCTGACAGTCACTTTTGCCAATAAAATGAGATCACGTACTTGGAGACAAAAAGTTAGGAGTAGACTTGTGTTTTTACATTTTCAGTATTCTGGAATATGGCAGACATTGGCTGGAGTTTTGTCACAGAAATATCTGTGGTAGTTCAAGGTGTGTATTCTTCTTGGTGTTTATCATGGAGGTGCCCTAAAACCACTGAAATGTCTGTGGGAACATTATGGGTCAATGTGTTTGGAACTCTGTGAGAGTAGAAGGGGTAATTTCCTAAAACCGTGAGTTACCAGCACTGTACTGTCTTGCGGAAGACTCTTACATGGATGTTTAAATGCAAAATGTATAAAACAGGCCAGCACTAGTGATGTATGGGGATGTGCATCTTGGAGGTACATCTCTGACTAGCATCATCTTTCTATCACTTGTGAAGGTGTTCATGACCAAGAATGGTGCTAAGTCCTTGCCTCGCTGCTTTTTTCACGGGCTTCTGGGAAGTTAAACATATGAGGCATCATTCCAAAAAAAGTTTTAAGAGGGTACTCTGTCTCAAGGCTGTGTGCCTGCCGTGTGTACTGTGTTGTTTTGTGCTTTCTCATATTGGATGAGGTTCCCTGTTGTGAGGAAATGGGTGAAGAAGGAATGGTGTGGAGCTTCTGCTTTAGGAGAAAAACTGTTCTGGTGCAAAGCAATCTTCTCATAAGTAGATGTGTCTGTCGTAGTTTTACCTATGAGCGAATGCACATTCACTTTACAAGATAAGTCCTCAGAAATGTGAGTAGCACTTCGCCACCTGATGTGTGATCTTATTGCCCTTTCTCTGACACTTTTCTAAAGAAAATGGATGAAAGGCTGATAACTAGCCTCTTCCATCTTGCCTTAGGAGAGTACAGTGCAGGGAAGGGACACTGGGAAAAGACATACTGTGAAGCAATGCATCTGACACAATTTATGCACCATTTTCACAAAGAAGAAACTGTGAAATGGCATGAGCATAGGAAGTCTTTGAACCTGGAAGACGTACTTCACCTGAGTAGCCTGGCTACTTAGTTGGATGTTGTGGCCCACATTGCAGATCTCTCCTATCTGTGGTTGCAATAACTGTGTAGAGTTACATTACTAAGGTAGATTGCCCTTACCACTGATGACTTCAGAATCCTCAAGCCAACAAACTCTTCTGCAAACTATGAGGTGAATCAGTGGTGCACATAGAGCAGCTAATGAAAATTTGAAACCTGTTCTGAGATGGTTTCTGCCTTTTTCTTATATTTTAAGTAATAAAGCTCAAAATTATTAGTAGTCATGTTGTTCTTAATAGGGCATTTTGTATAAGTACTGCAGGTAGATGTTATCCTCTAAAATAAATTGCTATATACTGCAAGTTCACTAAAGTATGGATTAATTTTTATTATTCTGCTGTTTAGTTTCTGAGAGGATATTATACTCTGGTCGCTTGCTGTAAAGAAAAAATGTTAGAAAGGATTTCATAACTGTAGCACTTCGTTTAATACTGCCAAGTGGTCCTACAGGGAAATGTGATTTGTGTGTTATAAATGTCCTAGGAAATCATGTAATTTCATTTTAGACAGAAAGGTCCAAATTCAATGACATATACTTGGCACTAAAGATTATGTTACGGAGTGAGGGTGTATTTCTATGGAAAAATGATTGTGCAATAACTATAAATTTTGTGTTGAGAGTAAATTATTTTTCTGTCTGATGAGGAATGAGAAAATGGATATATGAAAAAAGAATTGTAAGCAAGACAAGGAAGATTTTTACATTAAGAAAATGGAGTTATTAATATATGTTGTGTTAATGTTCACCAAAAATTTGCAGAAATTATAATACTGCTACACAGGAAGGATTTTATTAATTTAAAGGATGTATTTCTTCCTTTCTTACCTACCTTATAAAGTAAAACTGTTGTTTTAAAATTGATTACGTTGTATTTCTCTAATATGTAGTTGATACTCGTGGAGCAATGTCCAAGATTATTTTAGCCTATTAGGTTTTTATTCCTGTGGATTCTATTGCAGATGAGTTGTTTGAAATGGAAACCTCTTCCTTTTCCTCAAGTGTCATGCTTAGAGGTTTACAGATGAGAAACAAGCTTACTGAATTGTGCATACTGTTCTTGTGCATATGTCTCAGGCCTCCTCATGAGAGCAAGCCCAGCAGGATCTGACCTGCCACCATTCAGATTCACTAGATTTTATTTATTTCCTAAAGCATTCATTGTCTTTATCCAAAAAGATGTGGCTTCTTCAAAAATCAGTGAGTTAAAAAATTAACTTTAAAATGCCAGTATAAAAGATTATGTAGTGTGGTTAAGGCATACACACTCTGGGATCCAGCACAGATTTAAACTTTGTTCACCTTGCAAAATCACTGCAAGGTGCCAATGATCACTGCTGCTGCTTCCTCTATGTGAGAAGAGTCACATCCTAAGCAGACAGGAAGTTTACTGTCTTTCTTCCTCCTGTAGATGTGAAAAAATTCATTTCAAGTTACATCTGTTAGAGCAGAGCAAGTGATACGAGAGGGCAGACACAGACAGGGCACAGGCGAAAACAGAGAACTACTTTTGCTGTTTCAGATCCTTCTGTGAGGAAAAACAACGGCTGTCTAGAGGGAAGGCTCATAAGTGAGGAGCAAAGTTATCGAAAAAGCTGGTGCCAAATGACCTGGAAGCCTCCCAGAGGTTTTAGTCCAGACAGATGATACTCTGGTCATTGCATTACCTGTGCTTACAATAGTGAACTCAAAAATCCTCCCTTTGTTTATTCTGAAGACTTGTTGGAGTAACTCCTGAACTGTAATGATGGATACTGGGAAAGGGAGGGAGGAAGGAAGGAATGAAGGAAGGAAGGAAGTGAGGAAGCAAGGGAGGGAGGGAGGAAGGAAGTTAGTTGCTGCATCCCCAAAGTAACCAGAGCTCTTGAAGGTGTAATTGGTGTGGATAAAGCTCAAATTGTTCTTTATACTGTCTTTACCTTTAAGCTGTGAGAGACCTCGAGCAGACATATGCATTGAGGGGTTTGTGCCTTGGCACAAAGACACAAGAAAGCATGGAGCTTTTGTGGATGCAGACAAGTAGCGCTCTAGAAAGCATTCTGGTCTCTTTCCCATGAGGTGCATAAATGTTGTTATCTAGCAGAACCAGGGTGTCTGTAAGATAAGGAACTTCTTTTTAGGAGCATGTGAAAGCTCTGTGGAGTTTCACGTGTATGCCAGACTTCACTGGCAGACTTTATGACAATTTATTCTCAGTTTAGTAATATATAATAATGTATGGAAACAATACGTATGTATAAATCTAATATATATCTAAACATGTGGATAGATGTTTGTGAAATATGTAAGATTTTTGTCAATAATATGATTTTATTTCCTTTTGTGTCCATTGGTAGCTTTTAAAAATATTTTAAGAAGAAACAGCTGTATTTGAATCCAAGTGTGGGAGTAATATTTTAAAGAGGACAAGAAATCTGATATCAGAACCCTTGGTAGTGTTTTGGATAGGTCCGAACTTTGCAAGGGGTCACTGCATGTCAGAGACACAGCCATCAACTCAGATTGCTTAGTTTGCTTTTTCTGTAGATAATTTTTCTACCTGAAGTTTTTGACAGATATTTTGACCATGTTAAATATTTTACATATGAAAATTTTTGCATGTCATACATTTTATCACACTCTGAGAATGCAGAATTTCCACTGGGACCTGTCAACTGAGGACCTAGCATAGACGCAGATAGATATGAAGTCTTTTGCTTGTTTCACAATGGCACTAGAAAAATGATTTTACCTCATTTTAGGGCTTAATTAGGAACAAGTCTATATGAGATTACCACAACCGGGATATGCGCAGTGTCTGCAGTGCATCCTGCTCCCTGCCACCACTTGGGTCTTCTGGGCCAAGTTTATGCAGTAAATTTGCACTTCATCAACAGCAAGAAGTCATAGAACACTTAGCAGTACTTACCTGTTGTCTTTATTTTTGTTTCTAGATGGATGATTCTGGATTGTTTCAGGTGCTAAATATTCGTGGTGCACAATATAATGAAGAGTTACAAAGATTTCAGCTCTGCATTTTGTGCTATGGTAAGACAAATACAGTATTTTGAATTGTCATTAAAGGACAAATAGTGTATTGTGTAGAGTTGCCTAGTGAAGAGTGGTGAGATAAGCAGAAGGGCTGAGGCATTCCTCTGGCTTTACATAACCCTAGCAAAATTATTTGGCCTTGTTTCTTATCGATGTGTTGGATTCCTAAGTAGAATCTGTTTCTAGTGAATATTTACTGGCAACCTATCATCTGCATTGTCATGGCTGCCAAATCCATTTCAGAGGAAAACACTTAAATTGGAAGAACATGTTTGTCCACCTTAAGCTTCATCAAATGTGGTATTAAACATCTAGAGCCATTTCCTTGCTCCTATCTTTTTGGGACCTTCTATCTAGGATGAACACATGCTTTTCTTTCAGGGTGTTCGAATCCTTGTCTGACCAGAATGCCTGGCTGAAAAGAATACGTTTACTTGAATTGCATCCTAAAAGCAAGTGTTAATTAAATGTAACAGAGCAAGGCTACCCGTGTCCTTCAGCTTTAAAACCCTGCATGATAAAGTTTACTAACCTTTAAGAAGCTGTAGCAGTGGTAATCAGAGCTTTCTTCTCTGAAACCAGTGTCTTCCCAGACTAGTCAAGACAGGTAATAGGGCTAGAGCCTACATCCTTCTCTCCTTCCTTTTCCTTATTCTTCAGAAGATCATTTCTGGTCATTTCTATGTACTGGGATATGCAGTGGTCAGAAAGACAGATCATAGAATCATAGAATCATAGAATGGTTTGGGTTGGAAGGGACCTCAAAGGTCATCTAGGCCCAACCCCCCTGCTATGGCAAGGACACCTTCCACTAGACCAGGTCAAAGTGTCACCCAACCTGGTCTCAAACACTTCCAGGGATAGAGCATCCACAGCCTCTCTGGGCAACCTGTTCCAGTGTCTCACCACCCTCAGGGTGAAGAACTTCTTCTTTGTATCTAGTCTAAACCTGCCCTCTCCCAGCTTCCAATCATTGCTCCTCATCCTATCACTGCAGGCCCATGTAAGAACTCCCTCCCCACCTTTCCTGTAGGCCCTCTTTGAGTACTGGAGGGCCACTATGAGGTCTCCCTGAAACCTTGTCTTTTCCAGGCTGAACAAGCCCAACTTCCTCAGCCTGTCCTCGTAGGAAAGGTGTTCCAGCCCGCTAACCATCTTGGTAGCCCTCCTCTGGACTTGCTCCAACAGCTCCATGTCTTTCTTGTGTTGAGGGCTCCAGAGCTGGACACAGATGAAGTATTAACAAGGAGTACCTAATTTTATGACTCAGCTAATGGTCTGACATTCATGGCATGTGAGGTCCTCAGACTTCTTTATGATGAGTCTATGCAGTGCAGCAGCTGTTAGCAAACCTAAAAGCTTGGTGGAAAGACTTATTATTCTGCTGGAATCTGGGAAATCTACTTGTATGTTGTGGGTCTGAGTTGGATTTACTTTTCATAGAAAGAAGTTTGAAAGATGAGTAAATGTTTTTGAGTCTTGACTGCAATCATTTTGCGATTTTTGGAATATTGATCAACTTTGACTCCTGACCAGAGTCCTCAACTATTTGGTGAAGGTCACCAATATCACAAATATCTTCCATGAAGAACATTATTGTGAAGATTTTCACTTGCACTTTCTGCAATACTGGGAAAAATTGCAATTCTGAAAATATCATTTTCTTTTCTTGTCCCAAAGTACCTTTTGAAAAAGCATTGATTTCTCCTCTTAGTGCCATAATAGTTTAGGTTTCCTCAAAACACTTCCAGCAGTTGTATTGGTTAGGAATAAACCTTGTATTTAAATAGCCACATAAATACATTCTGACATGTTGCTCGAATGGTAAAAAGTTGCTACAGTTGGTGTGTGTAGTGATCTCTGTTATAACAAAAGAATCAAATACCTTATCAAATACATACTGAAGTAAACAGGTTTTACTGATTCTAATGGGAAGTAAGGACCTGACTTCACATTTTTTCTAAATCTTGCTTTTTTTTAATCTTGCCCAAACCCAAACAATTTTAATGTAATTATCTCTGCTCCTGTGATATTTTTTTATTTCAATGGGAAACAGAGCACCAGCTGTCTTGCAGAATGTGTTTTGAGTCAGCCTTTATTTCCCTAATGTGTATTGAGGTCTTTCTAGTGGTTTTGTTCTTTTTTTTTCCTTTTTATTTTTGAAATTGGCCATTCTGACACTTTAGATCTGTGATCACATTCATTGTTACATATTTGCTTTTTGATTTGTGTAAAAAAAAAAAAAAAAAGCTAATTAATTTTACTTTCTTTTGCAGACAAATGTAAACCAGATGCTTTCTGTGAACGTCCCAGGCCCCGTTTACCAAGGGCGCATGTTGATGCTGCATTCATTCTGGATAGTTCCCAGAAAATGAGTGGTGCTGAATTTGAGCAAGTTAAAGACTTCATGAGCAAAGCAGTCACTGCATTCAACATTTCCTCAGATCCGAAAACATCTGTTGTAGGGGATAGAATAGCTGTGGTGAGCCATGCACTACCAGGTTTCAAAGCAGGCACAGGCAAGACGCCAGTAAAGAAGGAATTTGACTTCATTACCTACCACAGTAAAGATCGAATGAGAAGATACATTAAAGAATCTCTTCAACAGCTGAATGGAGAGGCTGCTGTTGGCTCTGCCATACAATGGACAATTGACAACATTTTCTCACAGGTTCCCAATCCAAGGCAACTCAAAGTTATCATCATTATATCTGCTGGAAAAACGAGTCAATGGGACAAAACAACATTAAAAAAAATTTCCCTGCAAGCTAAGTGCCAAGGCTATGCACTGCTTGCAATTTCACTAGGAAAATCCTATGACAGAAGGGAATTGGAAGAGCTTGCAAGCACTCCTCTGGAACAGCATTTGCTTCAGCTTGGCAGAATACACAAGCCTGAACTTGACTACGTAACGAGGTTTCTGAAGCCATTCATATATTTCCTCAGGAGTAAGTTATCATATCGCAGGTGGTAGTTGGTTTTTTTTTTTTTTTTTTTTATTTCCCTGTGAATTTTCAGTATTCTGAAAAAGCACTGGGTGAATAAGATTGGAGTGTACTCATGGATGTGCGTTGCTGGGCAGGTTATATTCATGCTCCCTTCACAGAGGTCTTCAGCCTTGTTCTTTGGGTAAAATCAGGGATTATATCCATCCTCCTTCATTCCAGGTGTCATTATTTTGGTGACTGACATCTATAGGGCCTGTTGTTTGCCATCAGTTTCACGAAGAGTTTAGCCAGGAACAACTGATGGAATTGATATGGCTTTGATGCTGAAAGAAGCGCTGCTAAGATTGCCATTGTCAGGGAGCACAGCTGCTTTTTCTTTGCCTAGAAATATTCCTGATTTTGAGAAATAAGTATTTTCTTATAAAAATGTTCTTTTCAAAGCACAAACACCACCAACTTTCTAAGGCAGAGCACCCTCACCGTCAGGTAATTGTTTTCCCATTGCCTTTAGATTCTAACGTCACTGAGACCTGTGGCTTCTAATAGGATAGGAACTCCTCAGTGCAGTTCCTTGAGCAACTTTGTCCTTATCATATATTGTATGTTCAGCAAGGAAAACATATAGCTAGAGAGGAAAATCAGCTGTTGTCAGGGTGTTTACATACAGGCCAATGGAGAATGCAAATGGAATGAGTTAAGCATTCATTTTATAATGTGTATTTGGAGATCCTGCTGCGCTGCTAGGAGTTAGAAGAAAAAATTGACTGTGGAGCTAAATGCTCTATACTGGAAAGAAATATTGACAAGTGCTCTGCTCCCATTAAAGAGCAGCTTCAGCTGACCTTCAGTGGGATCTAGATACTTCCACCTCATCAGTCAGCTTTGGAAGTCCAAGACCTAACTTTTTTGCTACTGTAAAAATATAAAATCTGTCTGTCAAATGAAAATGAAAATAGACTGATGATTCCCTGTATCCTCTACAAAGTGTGTTAAACTGAGTATAGACAAAGACATTGGATGTTGTGTTATCCATAGACTTTGTTAGTGACTTTTAGCTAAAAAGTCAGAACAACTTACTAAGGAAGTTCAAAAATTCATATAGTATAAATATAATTCTCACATTCTCCTAAACATAAGTTTATTTAGGTGATTTTTTCATGCAAGTTAGTTGCCCTTTTTCCTGTTGATGGGTGCTGAATTAGACCACCATAGCATTCATCTCTACATATAGTGTTTGTGTATAAAATTAATGAAGTCACTTGATTTGCAGCTGTTCTTGCATAAAAGGCTAAGCTTTGCCAAAATGTTCTAAGTCTCACAAAACGAATGAATTTTATTACTGTCTTCTGAACAGGTGAGGAAAACTACCCACCAGAAGACCTCAAGGGAAAGTGTAGCACGCTCCTCTTTCAGAGCCAAAGACCTGTGTAAGTCCATTACATAATTATTTTAATATTGGGAAGTTAATGGTGAGTAAGATTTGCTTTTGGAGCACTCCCCTTATTGGTATTTTCAACAAGTTTTTTATTTGATTGGTTAAAAGTCTGCTTGATTAGCAAAGATAAAGAGTGGAACTTCACCGTAATAAACACATTAGAAATTGACAGCATACTATGTTATGTTTTAAAACAAATCTAAAATTGTTGTACAAAATTAATGATAACCTTTGTATTACTTTTGTGTTTTAAATACACCTTTGTAGTCACCCAAAACTATACATTGTGCCCTTCTGAAAATTTCTAAGTGCAATAATAAGTTTTAATGTTGAAATGCTACTTTTTTTTGTTACATGAGGGCTTAAATATATAATGAGAAAAGGGAAATCAAAACTGAGGCAGCCAGTTTTGTGACTCCTCCTGCCAAAGGCATTGGTTGGTTCTGAAACTGAATCAAAGTGCAAAGGGCTCACGGCCAGTGCAGAGATTCACTAGGGAGCTGCCCAGCAGGACACACACCAGAAAAGTGCTGCAAAAGAACTGTGAGGCCAGGGTTCAGGTCAGCAAAGGAGACATGAAGGCAATAGGAAATGCGAAGACTCCAAGCCATTGTCTTCGGAGTTGCTTCCTTGAAGCTCGACTAAGAACAATGTTAAAGTTCCTGAAATTTTCCTGATTTGCATTACTACTGTATAGACCATAAGAATCTCTGTTATGTAGGCAGGCACATTGTCAGCTTATACCTACTTGTTAGGGCAGCTTTAGCATGAGCCTGGGGAAGAATCTGAATTTTTGGATCAAAAAAACAAATTGTCAAAATAATGAGCAGAATCAAAGTTTCTGAAATCCTTTCCTTCTCCTCTTGGAGGCAAATAGCTAGAGCAGCTGGTTGAGAGTTCTTGTTTCTGTTTTCTAATGTTTAGAAACACCATCTCTTATTCGCCCTGTTCTGAGTTCTTCTCTTGTGGCGGTTTATGTATACATTACCTTGGATCATGGCTGATAATAACGGTATCATTGACTTGTAATAATCAGCTTTGTTTCTTATTCTCACTAAAGTCTGTGTTTGCTTGAGAGCTGTGTGTACATTCTTCTGCACTTCCATGCAGTGTGCAAAAGCATTTCTAACCTTCACTCAGGTATTTTTTAACTGTATATAGATAATTTTTTAAGAGTTAGTTTTTCAAGAGAAGCGACCGTAAGAAATCAGGAAAGAGAACATTGTTCTGATACCAAAAGAAATAATGTATTTTCTTGTTCTGTGCAGTTCTACTAAATGGCATCTTTTAAGGG